ATAATATCAAAGACTGTAAAAAAATGCAAGGGTAACCAAATAATAATAATGTTCATTCATCTTCATTACTCAAATGTGTATGTGTACATGTATGCAGCAGTTTGCTCCTGTTTGTAGTACTCTATTTTCAAACACATGATGCCTTTTCTATCTTTCTAATGGTAAAAGTTTAAACATAATCTATACTGTACCTTATGTAAGGAAAAAGTAAAAAGCATGAGCTTGACTCTTTAATTTTCTAAAATGAAAATGGATTTTTTTTACTTTCATTCTATTTGAAAATTGAATTTTTCTTATTGCAGAAAGTCGGTTCCTCTGTGTCTGAAAGTTGTTTTGCATTTTAATTTAACATCAAGTCCAGATGCACAAATGCAAAGGAATGTGTTACGAAGAAATAAAGAACAAGACCACAGAGTCACCTTATTGAGTATTTTGTAAATCTGCTCATTTTGAATATATAAATGCCACTTTATCAAAAGCATTTTTCTAGCAAAATGGTTAGTAGTAAACAGTGTTGTACTTTGACCTGGACATTGTGACCTGATGGGTGTGTGGTTTGTCAGGAAAGGGTCAAAGCCTATCCACCAGGAGCTCAGGCACCTCCTGCCCTTCTCCGAGGGCAAAGGAGAGAAAGGCCTGCTGTGTGTTGGCAATGGTGCTCTCGGTCTGTCAGCCCAGTGGTGTATCACTGATGTGGGCATGCGCCTTGGAGGCTGTGTGATGGGAGGGATACGCAGGGATAAATCTTGCCCACAAACACCAATTCTACAAGCCTTTGTGAGTGGCTTTCTCATTAATCAACTCTAATGCCAGGGTGAATTTTTGAAATTTTCCAGAAATCTCTTATTAGCTGTATTAATTTGTTAAGAACCTCATTTGCCCGGGATGACCACAATATGAGGAATATCATGCTCTAAGATTGGAATAACATTGAGAAGAATAACACTGTTACATCCTTGAAGATCGGAAGCGTATTCATCATGCAAATATAGGGTCTGAGTTAGTTGAGAACAAAAGAGCTAATAACTGCATTCAAAATTATCTTCCCTTGTTTCAAGATTTTCTTTCATGGTTTGCCAACTTGAGAGGATGCCACCTCAAAAGGAAGGTCCAAATAATCTAGGCATGGTGATGATTTTGGCCAGTCTCCAGGATTCTTTATTAGTGACACACATTTTAGGTGAGAACATCTCTTCTCAACTCTGCCGAAGTGAGATTTAGAAGGGAAAGCTTGTTTTTCACGTGGCAAACTCAGATGCATCTTCTTTGAGGCTACACTTTTACAGTCCGCAGACTCGGAAGGCCATGTATCCCTGAGGCAATGTTAGTAGATGCGGGTCAGACCAGAACTGTTTTAGTGATTTGCCATCAATAGCATCTCTTCAATATCTGAGTTGTTGGAAGCTTTGAGGGTGAGCCCATGAAGTTATATCTTAAAGCTTCATTCCTTTTTCAAGTTCCTCTCCCTGGTAGTGTGAGCATGTTAGTGATGTTCTCATGCTGGACACAGCATTCTGCTTGGAAGGAGCAGGGCAAGGTTGGGGGGGTCACTGGGGCTCCACCCCAATGCCACCATCTGCAACCGACACCAGCCATCTCGGGCACCTTCCTGCACGCACCTCTCATACCTACCTGACCCTGATGGAGGAGGCCTACTGGTGATTGATTGATTGATTGATTGACCAGGCTGGAGTGCAGAGGTGTGATCATGGCTCACTGCAGCCTCCACTTCCCCGGACTCAGGTGACCCTCTCGCCTCAGCTTCCCAAGTAGTTGAGACTACAGGAGTGCACTACCATGCCTGGCAAAGTTTTGTATTTTTTTGTAGAGGAAGGGTTTCACCATGTTGCCCAGGCTGGTCTCAAATTCCTGGCCTCCGGCAGTCCTCCCGCCTCAGCCTCCCAAAGTTCTAGTATTATAGGCATGAGCCACTACACCCAGCCTTCCCAACTGGTGATTTTTAACCTGTGCCTGTCCTGTGTATCTTATTGTATTTTCTGTATCCAGCTGACTTTAGCATTTGTATGCGGTAGATTTTGGTCCCTTACTTTATTCTGAGCCCTTGGACAGTACTTTCAGCCTCTGCCCTGTCTGCTTCATGACTCTAACTTTTAGATATGTGACGGCTAAGGGCCTGGGCTCTGATGAAATTCCATTTGCCCCATGTAGCAGCCATGTGAGCTTGAGAGCTTCCCTGGGGCTCAGCTGTACAAGAGACATCATAGGTCCTGCCTTTTCTGGCTGTCCTGAGGAATAAAGGCTGTTGACACAGTCAATACTCCCTGTTCCTCTATCCCACTTGGCCCAGTTATCTTAAGTCCATGCTCTGCCTCACTCCCCTTCCAAAGGCCCCGAGCATTCTAGATCTAAACATTGAAGTCCAAGCCTTCCTCGCTGCCACAGGACCCCAGAGAGTTTTTGTCTTTCAAGGCTCAGCCACTAGACTGCACTTGTTGACCTCACAGGCCTCTTAAGCAGTGAGAACAGGCAGTGTTCTCATTGTATGATTAGAAAAAGTGTGCCACAGAACAACGCAAACTCATGGGGCCCCAAAGTGACTCGGTAGCAGAGTCGGGATGGAAACTGGTCTCCCCACATCCAAGAATCCACACTGACTGCAATTGCTTTGTGTCGTGACGGGTCATCCTCATCTTCTGCCTTTGCACCAAGCTTAACTTTTGATTCATGTTCTCCCTCTTTAATTCATTCCTTCTCTTTCTGCCCTTCTCTGTCTTCCTCCTCCTCCTTGGATGATGTGCATCTGTCGCATTCCCCACTTTCTCTTGGACAAGGCTGCCATTTTCTTTATCTCAAACCCTGATCTTTAAAAATAAAAGCTCATTCTGCCAGCTGTGCTACCCTCACACTTTGAACTGTATTTCTCTGTATCCTCATTATAAGTCTTTACAATGTAGGTGCCTAATCTAATCGTCAGAGGTAACTCGGCATGCGCTCATGGGCCCTGCCTTGAAGGCACCCTTACCCCCGAGGTTCCTACTGGGTCTTGGCACTGGAGAGTGCCAGCCACATTCTGCCCGTGACACCTGTGTGTGCTGTGCTTCCTCTGGGGCTGGGGCTGCTTTCCCACGGTGCTGTCTGTGTTATTGCTGGATAAGGGTCTTCTGTGACCTCCCAGAACAGAATTGATGTCCTCTTACATCTGAACTTCAAAGCCTTGGCCTTCCAATCTCTGCTTGCTGTTTTCCATGGACACCGCCGCCCCCCCCCCCATCTCCCTGCTAACAGTTGTTACCTCAGTGATGGGGGGTAATTTGTCAACAGGGGGTGTGACGCATCCACATAGGAGGGAGCTTTCAACCGGGCAGGCCAGAATGTGGCCTCCCGCAGACTCTGTTAAGCAGCTGAGTAAACGACTTTTAGCTGTGCCCACTGTTTATACTTGGAAAAGATGACAATAGAGTTCCCTTCTCACTCTAAGTGGCCATGGAGGCAGGAGAAACTGTTTGCTCCTCCTCTGAGAAATCTAACCATTTGAACTTGATGTTCAGTGGCCTCATAAGTATCTGATGGATTAGAGATGAAGTTCATTCATTCATCACAGGCTGTCTTTGGTAATCACCTCAATGAGACAGTATGTTATTATGGAAAGCTCTTTGAATCCAAAACTAAGTCCTGTTTTTTCACTTACTAGCTTGAGATCTTGACCACATGATGGTAGCCTCGTGACTGAGTCTCAGGTTCCCCAGCTGTAAGGTGGAGACAGTGACACTCTGCCTAGCTTTTAGGATTGGTGTAAGGACCAAGCAAAGAGAAGTAGATGAAAGCACTTTGTAACTTAGTAAATGTATGCTCATCTTAAACTTAGTATTTAATTTTAGTCATTTTTCTATCTCTGTAAGATATTGCAGCAAAATATTTCCAATGCCAGGAGCTTTGAGTCTTTCCATGGCCAAAATATAGCCCTCCCTGTCATGGGAGTCCCAGGCCATCTCATTCTAGTGGCCGTGGGATGGATACACAGATTCAGGTTGTCCCTAAAACACACAAAGATGACTGTCCCCAGCACTGACCTATCAAAAACCGCGGGTGAACAGAAGGAGACCCTCACGCCATCATCCCACAGCCCCTAGATTATGTTAGTTTAAAACTGTGAGAAATGTCATAGTCTTCCCTGGGGAGCCTGATGGAAGGAATGGATTCTATGACTTCGCCTCAAAGAATCCCAGCCGTAGCTCACGGCGGTGCTGGGATGAACTTTATAATCACTCAGCATCTACCCCCGGCTACACCGTCCATATGGGGAAGGACTGGATACTCACTGCAGACCATACAGAGGCCTTAATTAAAATAGTAGATGATTACTTAGGCATGTGATGTGGCTTCTTGTTTCTCCTTATTTCACAGGAACAAACGTGAAGATTTTCAGTCCCAATTTCAAAAAAAGAAAAAATGAGCAAAGCCCAATTTGTAAATGCTCATATGGGTCCTGATTTTTATCTTTTCTTAATCCTGTTTCTTGCTGTCTCCTACTTTCCCTGCTTTTAGAGCTTATTAGCCATAAAGTAAGCTAGTCACTAATAAATAGTATCATAAATTTTTAAAATACAGTAGAAGTAGGAAAATTCAAATGCCACTGCACTATAGCCTAGTTGACAAAGTGAGACCCAGTCTCGAAAAATAAATAAATAAAGTTTTTTTAAAAAAATCATTTATTTGTAATTTATCCTAGTTCGCAAAAAGATCTGTCATAAGCAGCACCAGCAAGATTTTTGGTTAAGTTGAGAGGGTCTGCCCGTGTCCAGGCGAAAGCTGATTTCTAGGAAGCACCTTATCAGGTGTACCTGTCTCTCCTAATTGTGTCATGCCTGTGTCCTGGGTGGTACCACACCTTTCAGAGCTACAGCAGGTCACTGTGCTTGTGCCTCACCAGTAGATGTGATCTGACTCGGGCATTTTTTATCCTGACGCTGAGACAGGACAGAGTGGGAAGGAGCTTCGGGCAGTGCGCTATTCACCGGGCCATTTTTTCTTTCTTTCAGAGACTCTGACCTTTTTTTGTTGGACACCCGCGTAGTGTGGGCCTCAGAAGAAGGCTGGCTGGAATTTGACATCACGGCCACTAGCAATCTGTGGGTTGTGACCCCGCAGCATAACATGGGGCTTCAGCTGAGTGTGGTGACGCGGGATGGTAAGTTATTATCCACAAGCCCCCAACATCCAGCAGGTCATCAGTTTCACGCATTTCCCTTACAGCAGCTGTGATAGAACCGTGGGCTATAGTCAAGTCCTCAACTTCAGGATGGCCTCATTTACTGATTCCCCCATGACTTACATTGAGAACCAAAACCGTTCCCGGAGGCCGCCTAGACAGGAATTGAAAACAGGCTTGGGCCACTTGGAGACAGGAGAGTGGTAATGTTTCCAAGAGGATGGCGATGGGACGACAGCTTTCCTAGGCAGAGGCAGGTTGCGGGGGATGCAGCGAGTAAGAGAGAGGCAGGCGCATCTGTTTAAATCCTGATGGATGAACAGGTTTGCAGTACCCGCTCCTCCTGCAGCATCAGAGCCAGCAGCCTGAGGTCCCCACTGCTGATCCGTCCAGCAGGGAGGGCGGATTCATAATCTAGCAGAAACAGGAAAGCCCAGGAGTTCACGCCACTCCTCCATGTGATTCTGAAACTTTGAAAGGAGTGCTTTGATTCTGCCAAAAGGTGCCATCCCACGGGTGCCAACCAAGGTTTGGGGATACGTGATTTCTTCTTCACACTCATTCTTAATTATTAGCACTTGGGAAACTAGGAAATATCCCTTAACTGTTGTAGCTACAGGAAAAAGTTTCTGTGGAATAAAGAGATGCATGCTTTGATTTGCCTTAAAGGAGTCCACATCCACCCCCGAGCGGCGGGCCTGGTGGGCAGAGACGGCCCTTACGACAAGCAGCCCTTCATGGTGGCTTTCTTCAAAGTGAGTGAGGTCCACGTGCGCACCACCAGGTCAGCCTCTGGCCGGCGCCGACAACAGAGTCGTAATCGCTCTACCCAGTCCCAGGACGTGGCGCGGGTCTCCAGTGCTTCAGGTGGGTTTGTGGGGAGCCTGCATTTCCAGAAAGCCTTCTTGGCCTCCGAACAAAAGTTGTGTCCACAGTTTCAGATGCTGAGCAGCTTCTGCACAGCAAATCCAAAGGCA